TTAACAGGGGCTCTCTAGATGACCACTTAAATCATCTTAGGACCGAGCGACCAACACCAGGTGGGGGCCCGGTGGCTTGCCCTGTATGCTGTCAAGAGTGGGCCCCTCCGTTTAGTCTGCCCGGGGAGAACCTCTGGTCTGCTGCTCCGCCGAGTGCAGAGCAGCAGACTATGTTATGGAGGTCTCACGATCTCATAGAGTGTTGCTGTGGGCTCTGACCGGAGCTCACGAGAATTCTATCACATTTTCTGCATCTCACACCTGGCAGAGCTGCAGACAGGATAGAGATACACTGGACCACCAGGGAAAAGGTATGTCAACGTGGAGAAGCTTGGCACAGCCCACACACACCCTGCACCCACACACCTTGTCCCTCACACAGCACACATTTAGTTTTTTGTACTGGGTTCACATGAAAATCGTGATGGTCTGATCACAAAGGATTATGGTTGTTGTAGTCACAGCGTGGTGATCGCGATAACGCAATCCCTATTAAACTAGAAACAACTGATATGAAAGTGTCTATTAGGGTGAATAAATAGTTTGCAGGTTTAAAAAGTGCAAAATTGGTTGGTTATGTTATAAAGATTAAAAAAGCAATCATATGATCGTCTAGTGCACACTATATAAAAACAAATATGTAGCTAAAAGAAATTATTCAGGTCTGTCCAGATTTTGTGGAATAACCACCCAACTCATCGAAACACAGGTAATTTATTGCAAGCAACCTAAAAAAGTATACTTTGTAACAGAGATTTCAAGAGAAATCATCGATTTTCTAAAGTTCCTAGGATGCACTCTCCCAGCTGTCAATCAGACAGACGGGAGAGGACTCGAACTTGTTCAAAGAAGTTGCAAGACTTCTCATAGAGAAACATTGGATTGGCTAGAGCAGCAAGGTGGTTAAAGCGCATGAACCTTGCCTTCCAATTCTTCTCTATAAGAAGCTTTGGATTACCTGGGGGATCCTCATTAAAGGACCACTATAGTGCCAGGAAAACATACTTGTTTTCCTGGCACTATAGTGCCCTGAGGGTGCCCCCACCCTCAGGGTCCCCCTCACACCAGGCTCTGGGGAGAGGAAGGGATTAAAATCTTAGCTTTCTCCAGCACCGGGCGGGGAGCTCTCCTCCTCCTCTCCGCCTCCTCTTCGGCTGAATGCGCATGCGCGGCAGGAACTCCACGCGCATTCAGCCAATCTCATAGGAAAGCATTCATAATGCTTTCCTATGGACGCTTGCGTCTTCTCACTGTGATTTTCACAGTGAGAAGCACGCAAACGCCTCTAGCAGCTGTCAATGAGACAGCCACTAGAGGCTTTAGAGGCTGGATTAACCTATTTATAAACATAGCAGTTTCCCTGAAACTGCTATGTTTATAAAAAAAAAGGTTAACCCTAGCTGGACCAGGCACCCAGACCACTTCATTAAGCTGAAGTGGTCTGGGTGCCTACAGTGGTCCTTAATGATGAACTCCCAGGATGGAGCAGCTCTGCTGTGAGAAGACCCCCTTTCCACTGGATTAGAGATAAATAACAGCTTTATTTTACTAGAAAAGGAAGGGGTTTGGCAAATAATCTAAAATTCTTTACAACATACCAGCATTATTTATTATTGCATCATCTACCCCTTCATGTTCAAAGTATTTAGAAAAAGAATCAAACTGTGGGATTGCCAATGCTTCAATATTGTAAGCAGCTCAACATGACGATAATTATAAAAAAAAAAAAAAAATGGATTGAAATTTACCCCTTAACAATAAGATAAATTAAAGCATTCTTACATTTAAATAGTGTATGTTACCGTCAAAATTGAGATTTCTATCCTCCATATCACATTGTTTTTTTAAATTCATATAATAAAAGGCAATCAAACTGGCACCAACAGGATTAGACTAAAACTAGTAAGCCTAATTTTCTAGGAATAAAATAGAATGGAAGCTTACAAAATATAACATATATTATGTAAGTGTCCGCTTATAACTTTAAATCTTTGTTCCGCACTGACTGCTTCAGGCGGAACCTTTCTCTAGTTTTGGTGGCAAAAGCTCTCTGTGACCCAGCATTCAGATGCAAAGCAATCTAGGAGCACCTCGTGGGAAGATCACTGAGGTTTTTCTAATGTTTAAAGTTGCACCCCTTGGCAAGCAGAGCGAGGTACACTGTAAAAGTGCATTGTCTATAAAAGTGTATATGTTCTTGGACGTTAATTGTGTCAATGCTGTTGGTTAAAAGATATGTTGTCTATAAGCCAACGTTTGTCTAAAAGTACTATAGTGCAAATCTCTGTATATAGTTTGTATTCCTCAGATGTATAATGTAATATTGATGTATACAGATATCTGAACTCCACATTTGTAATCTTGTTTGTAATCCTTTTGGTGAAATTCTGTAAACAAATTATTTGTATGTCCTATTACAGTTTTCACAGTGCTTATGGTGCTTACGGTTTTTACCGGGTGCTCAAAATGTTTAAAGATATTGACGTTGGTGGTGTTCAGAGCATTCCTGCACATTTCTGATGCAAAGAATAAAATTCTGCAGCCGTCAGAAGCTCTCTTCTCCCTTCTTTATTGTTGCCAAAGGGCTGGCACATATTATCTGTGTGTTATTCCATATTACAATTATTAAAAATGACTGATCTGAAACATACAATAGATGATCCTCTGATGTAAACTTTTTTTCTGAATTGTACTCTACACTGCTCTCTATAACTGCCAATAGTTTGCAAAAGAGAAGAGATTATCAATAACTTTCTGGTAGAGTAATTTTTTTTTCTATTGACCTCCTCCTACCTAACCTGACTGGCACTTTAGTAGTCCTCTCCGATTTATTATTGTTAGAAGTCACCCTCCCCAGTAAGATATAATAAGATAGCCATGTAGTTATTTAACTGATCCTGTCCACAAGCCACCTTTGAACAGACAAACATTTGACACTATAATTAATAGACTTCACATTCTCTTTATCCATGTAGAACTGAACGAGTCCCCTTCCTCATCAACAGGCCTTAATTAGGAATTTATTTTACAATCATTTCCTTGAGTAGTAACCTAATCTGATGACTGTGAGTTAACTCCACAGCTAATCATATGCTGCTCAGTTCAAATTAATGGCCTAAATTGCTTATTTATGTATTTATTTATTTCATATTTTGCTGTACTCAATTATGGCAAATTTGGTCAAGATGAAATTGTGGCTATAAGACCAACATTAAAAATGAATTCTTAACTTTATGTTGTTGCAACATATTCCTCCTCACCTTGCGGTATTTGCGCCCAGCAGCCATGCGTCTGTATAACTGACTCTTGCAACATGTTAATGGACGCCGGTCGCTGCAGATCCACGTCAAATTATACCCCCGACGTCTGCCCACGCTAATGACGATGGTGGCATGCGTGTGACATCACGCGGGAGACGCTTGCGCACATTTTGGGGTCAAAGGTCGTTTTCGGCCAATCAGAACTGTTAAGCACTTATTTAAACTCAAATTTACTTTTCCTCATTGCACTGTCGGGGTTTCCCTAGTGGTTGTCTGAGAGTGTGTTCCTGTGCGTTTATTTCTGGTTTTTGACTTTGGCTTTGTTTGACTTCCCTATATTTTGGTATCCCTGACTCCTGGCTTCCCCTTATCGTTGTGTCCCATTCTGTGCCCCCCGACCTCGGCAAGTATCCTGACTATTCTTTGGTACGTTAAGTCTGGCCATTCTAAGGCCCGGTAAGAAGTAAACCTTTTAGTCCTAGGTGTGATATAAATTCTACGTGCTGGATAAATCAGTAATCCTGACAGTTGTAACATGTCTAATAATGTATGGTAACATTTTTGAAGTAGAAAACTTTGTAGAAGGTGCTGACGCCTCAATTCCCAACTTTTCAATCTGATGGTTAACACCAAGCCGCATCATGAAAACCATCAAGGGTTTAGTCTGGAAAACTCCTTGAATTTATGCTAAAGTTTCTCTCAATTCAAATTATTGCCTTAAAGGGGTCGTACTTGTATGGGAACGTACTGGACCTTTTTATGATTTGATTATCCAATCTATTTTATTATTATTATTATTACATTTTACTTCTTCCTTGCCACCCAACTTGTACATGCTGAGTGCAATTGTTGTACCAACATAAGCCCCACAAGTCCTTACCTACCCCCATGCCGTGACTGTGCACATGCATTGCTGGTGGCACTGGAAATGGCTATGCACAGCCCAGTTAAAAAAATAAATAAATAACAAAAATACTAAGAACAGGGCTTTTAACAAGCTGATAACAGCTTATTGAGCAGTTCCACTCATGAGATTTAATGAGTGGAATTGCTAATGCGGCTGAAAAGCATATTCTATAAATCTCTGCTGGTCAGGAAAAAAAAATAATCACCTGATTGGTGAAGAGTCTTTCTAGTCTGGAGGGGTCTGCCTGGTGCCACTTTCAGCAAAAGCAGCAACATTTGAAGTTTAGTTTCTTTCTTTTTTTAAACTATTTGCTTGCATATATATATATATACATATTGTGTTTTCTTGTAGAATTCTGTAAAAAAATGGTTACTTTAGTCTTGTTATCCCTCTAACTAGGCTAAATAACTCATCTATTAATAAATCAGATTTTAAATAATTTTATGGGAATTTTTACAGAGCAGCAAAGAAAGAGGATGTAGATTCTAAAGTCTTTTGTAGGCAATATTAAAAAGCAATACATGCAATGATAATAGTTCATCAGCAAGACGCCTGACTTAGTCTGTGAAATCTATCTTTATACTATAGGTTTTTACTTTGCTACTATAATATTGATTTAAAAAGTGTTAAGACTAAAATAATCCTTTTGTGGGCCACGGAGCAGAATGGCTGTGCACTAATTCGGCTCCCAATAACCTGTTGGGCAATCCACCGCAATCCAAAGTGTAAAAAGGAAAATGGGAAACCCAAAAAAACATGCCAACCCTCAGCGCACCCTAGGGAAGACTATCCCCCAAAAAACTGGATCCATGAAAGGCTATTTTAAGGAATCCATGGACCGCGAGGCGGAGGCCGCAACCCGCAACATGGTGTCGGCCGACGACCATGCATACTTGGACTCTAACCCCCAAAGCCCAGCGGCATCGGAACTCTCGAACAGATCTAACGAGGAACCCAGGGACCTGGAACTCAGAGATCTCATTAAAAATCTACCTTCGAAAACGGACCTTGCCGCCATGATCAACAAATTGGAGGCTTCATTCCACGCGAAAATGGAGGCCGTTAATTCGGATCTGCAACAAATAAAACATAGAGTCACTGACTTGGAAGAGGAAAAAGACGTCCAGCAATCTCAAATGCTTCATTTTTCCTCTGTTATGGATTCCCACATGCACTTTATGACTGACATACAAAGACAACTGGACGACCTCGACAACAGAGGTAGGAGAAATAACCTGAGGGTGAGGGGACTTCCCGAATTACAAGGAGAAGACCTAACATCCACGCTCACAGATTTATTCAATCTAATACTGGGTTTGGATCCAGGCAATAAAATTATTTTAGACAGAGCGCACAGGTCTCTAAAACCAAGAGGTCCAGCAGCAGAGATGCCACGCGATGTCATTTGCAGGTTACATTACTATACAGAAAAAGAAAGCATTTTAAGAGCCTTAAGGGATACCAACCCCCCCTCCTGTACTGGGGCCATGCTGTACAGATTTTCCCAGACCTATCCTGGCTCACTCTGCAGGCAAGACGAACCCTGAAACCAATAACAGAACACCTCCGCAACCGAGAAATCCGATACAGATGGGGATTTCCATTTGCACTGATCGTGAGTCACAAGGGAACGACCCACAGTATAACGTCTCACCTGGATGTGCAACCGTTTCTAAGAGCTCTGGACTTGCCAGATACGCAGATACAGGCTTGGTACGCTCCCTATAATCACCTAGACTCCGCACAGCCCATGAGAAGCATCACACCGCAGAAGAAGAGAAGAACAGATCCGCGACTCACCTCTCCACTGAGGACGCCGAGACAAGAGAGGCGAAGGAGAGTGGAGTGAAAGGATCCTTCTGTCTCCACTATCGCCCCATGCCCTTTCACACCTCTTTCCCACTCCTTTCCTCTCTACTTCCTACGAACTCTTGGACCTACCAGTTGATATATCTCGCAACTACTAGAAACCCTGGACAATAACAGGCGCGACCCGAATCGACATCACTAAGTCGCAGAGAACACCGACTACCCTAGTTATATTGGACTTCAACTCCCATCATCAGTAGGTCTAACCCCCACAGCTACCCCCGTTCTGCGAAAGTCAGGTCGTATATATGTCTAATTAGCTATTATGTTGCTATAGTGAGAATGTCTGCTGGGAAATGGTAGCAGAAAAAACGAAGTTTAAACACCTGTAACGTCTCTTTATAGGGACAAAACTGACGATTTATATCGAATGTTTCAATGTAGGTTTATATTGTATGATGATGTACTTAACCCTAACACATTGGGGAACAATGTAGTCCTGTGGGTCCCCCCCCATTAAACTCCCTCTTTCACCCGGAGCCCTAAGCTCCTTCCACATTCCCCCTGCCCACCCCCAAAATTGTAATCGACGGGCAGCCGTATCGGTTACATGCTGTTCCTACTATTTGGGATTAGTCCCACAACTGTACCCTTAACTTTCACGGGAAATTAGATATTCTCCTATAATCAGCGCACCCCTCCTCACCTCTCCCCCATACACCTCCCTTTACAGGGCCTCATTCCCCCCCCCCCATTAACTTATCTTCCATATAATGGAGACGAATACCAAGACATCACCCCGTAAGAGTCCACATCCCCACAGGACATACCCTCACGGAAATCGCACCACTATGCACACCCTATGTACGATTCTGGGGACAAAGTTTAAAAAAAAACAAAAAAACAAAAAACCCTGATACATGAGAGCTCATCTCTCTCCCCCCCTCTCCTCCTTCACCATATGCCCCTGTTAGTCACCCACCCCATACCCTTCCCATGCAAAGCAACTCACTACAAACAGACGGGATCACACGTCAACCCGTCAGCCGTTACGCTACTTCATATTTGTACACGGTGGATTGGAACCACACGGGTTATGATCAGCCCGTTTACCCCGCTAAAACAGTTTCTATCTCGTGCACAGAGATAAGAAACGTATTGCACCATTTAGGTGCCATTGGGTGACCTTAGCTAGGGTTGAAAGGCCTTGGTAGTGCTACCTTTTGCCCCGGGCCCTGGGCACCCGAGAGTCGCCTGCCTCCCAGGCGTCATTCACCAGCAGACTTGGTACTGACTGGACTGAGCGCTCCTGACCTCTGCGTCAGTTGTTCATCCAGCGGTGCACGGTAGGTCGAGGATCGAGAAGATCATCATTCACTCACATAAAAGTTGTTCACTCCCCGCTAAAGGGCAGTGAGTTTTGGTCTCTTTTCATAACATCCTAATCTCAATCTAAATTTTAATCTTATTTTTACTTCTGATTTTCTATTCAATTATCTGTTGCTTGTCTAGAAACTGCATTGGTTTGTAATATTGTGATTATCTCACTGCAAGTTTGCTCTCACACTCGTATTGACACTTCACAGGGGCAAAGGCGAGGGGTGTGGGAATATTAATAAACTGCCATATCCCTTTCACACTTCAAAAAAAAGAAACGGATGACACAGGTCGCTACATTTTTCTGGCTGGAACAATTGGCAACACTAAAGTCACATTAGCCAACCTGTATCTCCCAAACAAAAAACAATGCCGCACACTAACAAAGATACTGACGAAACTTTCTGACTTTCATGAGGGCATGCTCTTGGTAGGAGGGGACATGAATGTCTCCCTCGACGGGTCCCTAGACACCACCTCACTTTCAAGTGACTACCTTACAGCCATGAGAGAGAAAATGCGTAAAACGCTATACGACGCTCAACTCTTTGACTGTTGTCGAATTTTACACCCCTCACGTAAGGACTTCTCCTTCTACTCCCCTCCCACAGGTATATACTCCCGTATAGACATGCTGTTCACACAACACAGATACTTACCATTGTTAGTCTCCGCCTCATATGGCGCAATCACTTGGTCGGATCATGCCCCCTTGACCTTGGAGTTGACTATCCCTACTCTCCCCTCCCCCCCAGCGCAGTGGAAACTAAATGATCTTCTTTTAAATGTGACGGAAATTCGCACAAAATTGCAGGCCGAAGAAAATCTTACTTCCGTACCAATACAGTAGCTGACACTTCACACACTGTAATTTGGGAAGCCCACAAGAGTGTTATGAGGGGGGAAATCATACAACTGGCAGCTACACAAAAACGGAAAAGGGAAGCCCTCATCAAGACATTAACCAAGGACATAAAACACTTAGAAGACCAACACACCACAGACCATCACCTCGTGACTTACAACAATCTAATAGCCAAAAGGACAGAACTAAACACTTTACTGCATCTCCACTCAAAGAGGAAATTACACCTGACTAAACACTCCTATTACTCTCAGGGTGGCAAATGTGGCAAGCTGCTGGCACAATCCCTCAAGCCAGAGAGACAAACAACCTTTATACAGGGCCTACGAAAACATGATGGGTCACTAACACACATGTCACCAGAAATTACTGAAGAATTTAAAAAATTCTACACAAACCTTTACAACCTTAGAGAAGCCCCACCCTCCAACAACGAGGTGATGGCATACTTACAAAGACGGCTCCACACTGCGATTCCCCACAACCTCAGAACCTTTCTAGATGAACCTATCACTCGAGACGAATTTCTCCACACTATTAAGCATATCCCGCAAGGGAAGAGCCCAGGTCCTGACGGCTTCACCATTAAATACTATAAACTGTTAGCACCCGCACTAGCCACACCATTTCTCAATGCCTTTAATTCATTATCTCGAGACCACCCACTCCCCACTCAAACTTTAGAAGCAACAATAGCGCTCATCCCGAAACCCGGAAAAGATCCCTTACACTGCGGTAGTTACAGACCCATTTCCTTGATAAACATAGACGTCAAAATATTCACCAAAATTCTAGCATCCCGACTTAAAAACCTTCTCCCAACATTAATCCACCTGGACCAATCCGGATTCGTCCCAGGTCGAGAGGCCAAAAATAACACTACAAAAATTCTGAATCTGGTACACTGGGCTCAACGTCTAGACACTACTAGCGCTCTCCTAGCAATCGACGCCGAAAAGGCATTCGATAGAGTGGATTGGTCGTTCATGTTAACAACAATTAGGGTACTGGGACCTAAATGGTTGGATTGGCTGGCAGCAATTTACTCTACACCTACAGGTAGACTAAGGATAAACGGACAACTCTCTACACCAATCATGATCTCTAATGGTACTAGACAAGGTTGCCCACTCTCTCCCCTGCTCTTCATCTTATCTCTAGAACCCTTTTTACAAGGCATTCGAGACAACCCATCAATCCAAGGTATAAAAATAAAAGACTCGGAATACAAAGTGTCGGCGTTTGCCGATGATGTCCTCTTCTCTGTCATAAATCCTATCCAATCCATCCCATATATAATCACAGAAATGCAGGACTACGGTAAATTATCCAACTTTAAAGCCAATCTCATGAAATGCGAAATACTCCCCATCCACACCACACGAGACGTAGACACTCAGCTCAGAAGCGACTTCCACTTTGTCTGGGCCCCGATCTCGATAAAATACCTGGGGGTTCACATACCGCGCCAGTTATCGCACACGTATCAACTCAACTTCCCTCCCTTACTAACTAACATAACTAAAGACCTGACAAAGTGGCGTAAACCACAATATGGTTGGTTCAGTAGGCTAAACATCTTAAAAATGAACATACTCCCACGCATTTTATATCTGCTACAAACCCTACCAATCATCATCCCCAAAAATTTTTTGACAACTTAAAATCAATTACCTCTGCATACCTCTGGTCTGACTCACACCCCAGAATAGCTTATCCTCTTCTCACAAACTCTAGACGGGCCGGGGGTGTTGGGCTCCCCAATATAGAGACCTACCAAAAGGCTATTCACTTAACGAGAGTCTATGAGTGGACTAGACGCGAGATGACTCAACAATGGGCTCACATAGAAGAAGCCTCCATGACGGTTCCCATCTCCTCAATCCCATGCCATAAAGATGGTCGTGCCTACCTATCCCACAAACACCACCATACATGTATCACTGCAAAACTCTGCTTTTTATAGCAGACAGTAGGTTGCAATTAGTTTTATAATAATCTGTGCACGTTTTGGTTACTGCCATAACTTGAATTCCAGTTTTATTTTAATTGAGTGAAACCACTAAACTGCTAATAGCAATACCGTTTTTATTTCAAACAGTATAAATTCTCATTATCACATCCAATAAAAAAAGCAAAGCAAAAAAGTCTCCTAATCATTGCATATGTCTGTGGTCTGATCTCTGTTTTATTATTTAATTTAAAAATACTTATGTTTACACATTACTGATTCCTTAAATGACAATACCAGGTCAATTATTTTAATTCTTTCATTTATTTTGCTCAGCAGCAATTTGAGTTTGTATTCCATTTTCTCATTGTACTTCTCTCTGCGGTTTCTTATTGGCAACAGAGGAAAATACATGGTATACACATGAACTTGTTCTGAAAATTAAATAACTAGCACGTGTGTAGTTGGTTAATCTGTGGGTAACATTTTTGCCTCATGGCAACAGTTCACACAAGGCCGTGTGACATGCAACAAATGTAATCACATATGTTTACTTATCTCTATAATTAATATACATGAGGTTTGGAAAATACAATTACCATGGTTATTCATTAAAGTGAGAATTCAAAGTTAAAGGGTTACTTCAAACACCATGACCACTTCATTGATTTGAAGTGGCCATGCATACCTACTAGCATTTCAAATGGACAAAGAGGGACACGTTATTATTAGGGGTGTGAGTGGGGGTGTGGCCAGAGGAAGAGCTGCTCGAAGAACGAATTTGGTGACTTACGAATAATAATGTATACAATTAAAATGTAATTATGAACAAGCACAATGTATCCCATTTACATAGACTGATTTCTAAACACATTTATTGTAGTTTAACCCCTTAAGGACACACGACATGTGTGACATGTCATGATTCCATTTATACACTCAGACACACCAACAATATGGAGCTCCTAAAAAAGAGGGACC